AAAAAAAAAAAAAAAAAAAAAAGAAGTCCACCCAAATGTCCCAGCACTTGAAAAAGTACCACGAAGACAGCATACCTCCTTAGTTTCAGGTTCCGTGGCCTTGAGCAAATCAGAGAAGGCGGAGCACAGCTTTCTCGCCGCATCCAGCAGTTTGTCTCCCGAAGAGTCGTCATCCATCAGGGCGGCGATCATTCTGACGCCCTTCGTCATCTCTGGGAGATTGGTGGCAATGGTGGTGATAGCTGCACCCACCGCTGTGTGATCGACATCGTCGGCCGGGCCGGAAGTCAGCGTGACCACCTGAGCGGTCGCGGCGTTCATCGCCGCGATCTGCGAGCCAACGTTCTGCTTGTGCGTATCGATCGTCTGCTCGATCCATTTCAACGAGGCCGGATCGGTGCCCAGCTCCGGAAGCTGAGCCTTGCAGGACAGCTCGGTCTCCGCAATGTGGATCACCTCGTGGCCAGCGGTGATGGTCGACAGTAAGGCACGTTGTGGTTCAGACAGGACGGATGTGACCTTGGTTTGTTGCACCTGGTTGCGATTAGACTTGCATTGTAAAAATCGATTAACAAACAGAGATATGTACGTGTGTGACTGATGCATCGTGCTCGAGGAGATTTGAAAGTGCTCGATCTTCTTCACGAATCTCTTCACTCCTTCAAATTTCCATCCGTTGCGATAAAGTCATTGCTACTACTCATTCCTCAACGACGGATAACGAGAGAATGAAATTTTCATCAATGAGCCAATTAAATTCCATACAAATGGTTGGTCGTTCGGGGGAGTTCGGTCGAGTTTCGATGCCTGAATTTAAATAATTATAAATTATTTTTGTATTTGTACAAATATATTTATATTTATATCAAATGATTGTAAGTTGGTAGTTTAAATATAAATTACAGTTAACGTGTTTAAAATAAAATCCGTTACAGCCGCCATTTCGTTAATTTATTCATGCCATTTGTAAAAATCTGTAAGAATAGTAAATTCTGTAAGAAAGAGACCGATTTTTTTACATGACAACTGGCTGCATGTGCATAATAATTACAGTGTAAAAATGAAACTCTGCACAGTATCCATCTCATTTTTCTAACTTTTTGCTTCATTATTATTAATTACTAATCATTATCTATTTAAATATTTAGTATTATCAAAGACTTATTCAAAATAAGATCCATTATAAACATTTCGAACTTTATTGACATCAGACCGAATAATCTTTTTATAGATGCCACAAATAAATAACTGTCAAGTAGTATCATAAGACTACCAACTGTAGTATCATGAGACCACAGATGATTATAAGAATTTCTTTCACATTACAAAAATTTAAGATTTAATTTCTTTTCTTTTGCATTTTATATTATCTCTGATGGAGATTAGTAAAGCTGACAAAAGTATATTAACTATAATGGATCTTATTTCGAATAAGCATTTAAAAATTAAATTACAGACCTGTGTATGAAGATTTATAATCGTTTACATTCAGACGTCAAAATTCAGACAGAGCTTCCCCAATCGACCTAATACTTTACATCTCGGTGGATTTTAGCATATTTTAGTCACAAAACTAAAGTTTTAACAAAAATTAAAAATTCGAACGACGTAACAGAAACTTATTTAACAGCCAATAACGTATAACTAAAGGTTTTATCATCGAGTACCTACTCTGTGTCCGCAATAGAAGGTGCCTAGCATGAAAACAAATTTAACCGTCAATTAGTCCTTTTACGGAATTGTTTCGATACGCAACGAAATCATCATATTTATTTTATACTGGTGTTTTGAATTTAAATGTACCGTCGATATTCGCTGCGGTTCATAAAATGATACTACTAACTAATGCTATAACAAAGCAGTTCAACAGCTCTTGCTCAAGCGAATGATCAGTGTCACTCCAGAAAGAGTTCTTTATTTCGCAAGATATTCTTTAATATGTGTACAGTGACTCTTATTGATATTCAGAAAATACGATGTTCTAAGGACTATTTCTCCGTATATTTATTTGTAATTTTACTATTTTAATATGTAATATTTTGAAAAATTATTAAACTAGTTATAGAATAATTATTCAAATTATATTATATTGTATATATTATTTATATCCATGTTATACCCCTAGTTATATTATTTATACCCCTAGTTATAAAATAATTATTCAAATTATATTATATTGTCTATATTATTTATATCCATGTAAAATTCATATTTATCAAGTGCTTGTTTTTCGATGTCTTAAAATGATTATTTTAGTCGATAAAAAGATGAATTATTTGCAACGAATGTTACGTTTATCAATTTTTTTTTTTTTTTTAAGCAATGTTCGATATATGTTACTTACTTACGAAGAAAATGTAAACTGATTGATTGGAAGATTGCTAAAATCGAAACCATATATAGTATAGTACAGAGCAGAGAAACGAGGACAGCGAGCGAGAATTAAATCAAAGTTCAACTGAACAGGAAGCTAACTGAGAAGTGTTTGGCATTCTCTGACGGTGCTCGGCATTTTGTTGCAACCAATAGCGAACTTGAACAAGTAGAGAAATAAATTTTTCCTAATGCTGAAGAAACCGAACTTCTTCGGATATCTCTCCTGAAACAGTAGAGGGAGCCAAACCTACGACACCTTTACGACATTTCCACAAAATGAATATTTTTCCGAAATACTGTTCTCTCCTCTGATTTACATAAACACATAAAATAGCCACGAGCTACTAAGACTGAATTAAGGCGGAGTTTGCCAAGGCGTTTCAAACTTATAGATGTACATACCATACGTAATACCGTTACAAATTTTATTTATTCAATGCACACAGTTTTAACTCTTTTAGTACTCAAGATGCGATTTCTGTCTTATTTTAATTCCTTGAACATTTTTTAAACATTCGAATATTGAATCGAGTAAATAGTATATTATGTTTTATCAAAATTTTTGTATATTTTGTATATTTTGTTTCGACGATAATGATAAAGAAATTGCAATAATTTTGTGTAACACACAGACATATATAACGTGTTTATATCTAAAATAATGCTACAATAGAGCTTTCATTATCCGCATTTCTATTATTCTAATACAGTAAAGCTACGTAAACTCCTATTATTTTAATATTCAAACGTTATAAACTAGAATAAAATTTCTAACACTAGAATAAAATTTCTACTAGTAATAGATAATTTTCCAAGTACCAACAGATTTTGTTCTGATAATATAACTTTCTTGAATATTAAGACATATGAAAAATATTAATTTTTCAAAAGAAGCTACTATACTTTAATATCAGACTGTTCTACTATCGAAACATTCTCTTATCTGAACAAAATACTCAATAGCAATAGATATCTTCTCTTCTATTAGTTTATTTTATATTTTATATTGTATTATTGTATATTTTATCGTGTTTTTGATAATTAAAAAAAAATTTAAATATGGAATACAAGATTTTACCTACAAATATAATATTAATATTAATAGAATATAAGAATGGAGTTCAATAATTTCATACGATGATTATAAGTTACTCATACTAAAAAGTTGGATAGCAGCAATAAAAAAGAAAAGAAATATAACATCCTTAAATATTGGAGTAAATTGATCTTCAATTGGATACATATAATTTAAGATAAAAAAAAAAAGTGGTTCTATTATCCGAAAATTCTACTAATCGAATACTTTTGTCTCCCTATTATTATTTCAGTACTATAAATTACATTATTGTAAATCTAACATACAATCCGGGACAAAATACAGACATCTTGAAATTCATGTTTATTAAAAGCAATGACGTATATAGAAATTATACAGGATTTTATAAAAAATATCGTTTAACATACAATAAAATTTATTTATTTATTTTATTTTATTTATTAAATTTTATTTAATTTATTATATTTTATTTATATAAATTTATTTATTTTTAATTAATTTATTTGTACAAGCATTCAATTCAAAAACAATTTTAAATTTCCCTAATATTTATTATTTCTTATGCGAAAATGACTGAAACTTATATTTCTGCTAATTAAAAGCCTGTTTTAATATACTGAGAAACAATTAATGGCAACAATATCGTTGCAAACAAATACAGGGAGCAATGATCTTTCGAACATCACGGTGTCTGGATATTGATAGGAGCCATTGCATATTAATTTCCTTAATCAAGAAACATTGAAAATTCAACGTGAGCAGGAACTCGTGCCTTTGATAAATCTTACCATCGGTGGAGCGTGAGCGATGTTCACCTGGCCGCTGACAGTCGTGTATTGAGCACCGCCCATGTGCCCGGTTCCATATGGTCGAGCCCCTACAAACCGTATCATGCAACTATCCGAGTGGTATTTACAGAGATCGATCCACGGGATCGATTGATCGCCCGACAAGAAGCTTGGACACGCACACAGATCGGCTCCGCAAATTGCAAAGCAAGAACGTTTCTCACGAGTAAGCATCAAGTGTCTTGTTTGGTACATACACGACGAATAGCAAAAAAATTAAAAAAAAGTTTCTTTTTCAAATATGTGCACGTATATACAAGAAAATCAACCGAGGAGAACGAACAAATAAATTGTTTTTAAAAGATGTACAAAATTATTATAAAGAATGGAGAACAACTAAGGAGACAATCGTGCAAGGATCTCTAAAGCTTCTGCATGTCTTTTCACTTTAAGAGAGCTTGGGAAAGATAAAGTTTAACATTTTCAATAATAACAACTGATTCTAGTCTACTAATTTGTGTGTGTGTGTGTGTGTGTGTGTGTATATATATATAGAGCTTTCGAATAACTGATTTAAGTAAAAAATAATTTTCATCGAAGCAAAAATTAGAAATACTCCTCAGTCCAGCGCGCAAGACACGATATTACTTTTGTTAGACATCGTATAAGTCGATGAACAACAAAGCCAAAATACAGTGTCTTATCTTTTATTTGTTGAAAATTGCTGATGGCACGTTAGTATATTTTTTTGACTGTTTTCTTTAATAATGGGAATCACACTTTGATGTTTCTGAAAGTGTGAAAATGATACAAGACACTGATTTTGAGGCTCGCGAAATTTTATAGGCTTTTTGAAAATTCTTACCATCTGCACCGGTTCTCATAACTGCTGGTATGGCAACTGACACAGCTTCCACGTTCCCTTTGCCAACGTTGCTCGTTTCGTGTTGCATGATCGTTGCTCTGTAAAAAAAAAAAAAAAGACAATACTGTAAATATGTTTACGCGAAACAATATGCACACAGTATATTTAATTGAGAAATTCACTGCAAATATCTCTCTCTCTTCTTCGCTTCTATATAATCCTTCAGCTTTTGTCTCAAAAACTCCTCCATCAATGCAGAGAATAATAAAATATTAAAAGAACGAAAGTGATCACTGTGAAAGAGAAGGAAAATAACAGAACAATAAAACAAATTTCGAAAGGAGAAGAAACTCTATTCACGATGGAAAACTCGATGCTCAACAAGCGACATTAGAGATTGACAAACCGAGACTTGGCCTATCAACTTCGATAATTGCCCTAATAAACCATCCATCGCCGTTTCAATTAACAGAATTAATACACGAACTAAAAATTAGTACGTGTACTGGCAACACTTACTTCAAAGGCGATACACTGTCTTCGACCATCGTTGAGCCTTCGTCACCTTCGATACCAAAGTGATCTTTAGCTTTCTGCTTTTTCAGAATAATGTCGATGTAACCAGAGATTAGTTGAAGAATCTGTTCTGCCTCCGTGGTCTGTACGCTGTAATACTGATCGGAATAATCGCCAAAGTCGAGCGTGAACGTGTTCGGTGAGGCTCCCCAACGTCGGACGGTAGTTAACGGCCAGGTCTTCAAGATTTCTTTCGTTTTCTCGTCGAGTCGCAAAACAGAGTCCTTGGTAACGCCGAGCAAACGAGGCACCAGCTTGTTTTTCCCCTTCATTTTCTCTTTCACTAAGAAGAACGTGACGCCGTAAGTGCTCAGAGATCTCGCTGTTTTCGTATACAGCACTTTGGCGTCAAGCTCAGAGAGGCCGATGTGCTTTTTATGCTCTGCGAAAATTTTCTTCTCGATGGCCTTCACCTTCAAGTAGGACTGCGGCAAAAATTCCTTGAGGCTGGAGAATTAGGCAGAAAAATTATGGTTATTAACTCGAATGATTTTCACAACATGCGTGAAATATTATAATATTAAATATTAAATATTAATATTAATATTATAATATTATAATATTAATATTAAATATTTTTTAACTCTTTGTCTTGACATTATTTAAAAGTACGTTTTATATAAACGTTTACATCATTTCAATATGACAAATTTTCTTGTATTAAAAAAAAATATATGAAATGAATATTTGTTCATATATTTCTATACTTTGCATAGTATTTTTTCTGACTGTAGTTGCAAAGTATTATTTATCGGTATTTACAAATGAATCACTTTGAACTTAATACATTAAGTTATTATAAATTTATTTTTCTTTTCTTTGTGCTTGCAATATGCCAAAAATTATTATACATAAAAATTTAGTAAAAAAAAGTCACAAGTAATTTAATTTTGAAAATAAAGAATCAAGTATAATTAACAAAAATTCAGATTAGAGTGATAGATTTATGTTAAATTATTGAAATTTTGAATATTTGAATTTAGGACATTGATTTTATTTATAATAGCGAATAAAAGAAAGTTTAAAAATGTCCAAACGATATTGAAATGTATCATGTACGAAAATTAATAAGTTTTATATTAGACATTTTTTTTATCGACATTAATAACAATCATCTATTCATTATTTCTGTCAAACATAATTTTACTTTATAAAATTATAAATTATCGCTTGCCTTAAAAATTTTTTTCTTCATTTATTTATATTTAGAAAATTGTAATACTGAATTCCAATACCTGCTACGATCCCTATATTCTCAAATTTTAATCTAATTCTTATTTGACCAAATAAGACAAATTTATCACGTTCTCAACATAAAACTTAATTGTATGAAGAGCTTTTTTATATTTTGTTTAAGCTTGGGATATTTCTCAATTTTAGAGAAATAGATCGAAAATGATCGATAGGACAGCAGGTGGATGAGAGTTGGATAATAGTAAAAGAAAAGGAAAAAGAAAAGCTCATTTATTGAAAAGCAGAAACAAAAGAATGTAAAAGCGATTTGTATGAGAAAGTCACAATTTTGAATTTTATCATATCGTTCGATATCCCGATCTTCCTATCCTAATTGCATCAGATTTTTTGTACAGTTATTGTTAAAAAATACAGCAATAAGCAGAAACGGAAGAAATCAATATTTCTTATCTGGAAACTTACTCGAGAAAGCCTGGCTTGTGCTTGTCTTCTTTGTGATCACCGAACTGGATCTGGCATTGTATTCCGGCAAAAATACAAGCTTTTTCCTGAGTAACCGGATGCGTGCCATCTAGAATTGCGTCTCTTGCTTGAACGTACAAAAGAGATAACTGCACCGGATCTCGGCTGTCGATATTTTGATCTGAAAAGAAGAACTTTCTTCGCAGCAGCACCGTTTCTGATTCGTCTATTCCTTGCTCCCTCAACGTCTTACTGGGATCTATCCAGTTCACTGGAAAAACAAAATCATATTTCACTACGTGATGAGGATTCGTAATTTGTAATGCAACGATTGATTGGAAGAAATATTAATTTTAACAATGTACAGTGAAGAGTATAATTGAATTAATAATTGTAGATCTCGCATGAATTGTTCCTCATTGCATTGAAGTATATATAAGATACATTCTGTACAATTAATACTAATTTAAGCAATTTTTTTTAAATTGTGAATCATTTTTATTTGCTTGTAACAAAAAGTATCCATTAATTTAGTTAGCATGCACTAAATGGACATTATTTATATTTATATTATAATATAAAGATATTTTACAGAGTAATCAATTACCTTTCTTCTGAAAGAAAATATTGTATTCAAACATGATCTGAATGCGAGACTTATAATAAAAAGTATATAAGGTTAGCTCAAGATATGAAAATTTATTCTATCCTATTCTAATTTATTTTATGTTAAATTTAGTCTGTGAGATTTTTAGGACAAAAAGTAGATATTACTCTTATAAATATTTACCAATATCTCATTTTGTTTTAATTAATTAAAAAAATAATTGAATAAAATTCACCTTGATTATAAAATCTCGAAACTTATAAATAAGTTTCATTATAAACTTATAAGTTAATTTTAATTCTTTCATCATCAATATATCATTATCATACATATATATCCATGTAATATCTATTTAAAATCTACTGCTCTGCGAAATAATTTCCTCATGGAAATTAAAATTGCTTCAATAAAAAAAAAAAAAATTCGAAATCTTGTACAAAATACAAAATATAAAATAAGGATGATATAAAAAATAATATAAAAAAAGAATAGCATAAGACAATATTAATATAAAGTAAGAATAATATAAAAAAGAACAACAAAGTAATATTAATATAAAAAATAATACAAAAAAAAGAATAACATAAAATAATATTATAAAGAAGAATAATATAAAATAGTATAAAATTCGCAGTGGATCTATTATTAAAGAAGACCCACGTCAACGTCTACAAACGCGTTGACCATTACTTCATCAGCATCTCCCCGCAAGCATTATATTCCTCGTGTCCCGTTCGAGTTTAACAAGTCCGAATTTTGATCGTGGCCAGATCAAGGCCCGATTTGCTGCTCACCTTCGTCGTCGGTCTTAAGCTTCTTCCTTAACTGATCCATCTTCGCGTCCCGCTCGCCTTTCTCCTCTTTCCTCCTCCTGAGCGTGAGGGTGCCGAAATTGCCCGGCTTCTGGTTTTCAGTCTCCTCGTCGGCCAGCTCGCGCACCAGCGAGTACTCATCGTGGTTCGTGATGCCTATCTTCGTACAAATTACTACCATGAGATTGGCAACGGGCTGGCTGTCATCCACCAGCAACGTCTTCAACGTTCCATCCAGCATGCGCACGCGAAGGGTCCGCAGTTTACGCCGGTACTCGAGCAGATCGCCGTTCCTCAGAATGTAATAATCGAGATTCCGGCCTGGCTCCAGCCAAACTCCCTTCTTCACGTCCTCGTCGGCAAGGAATAATCCGTAGTCCTTCGCTGTCGATGCAAGAAAAGAACGCGGTCATTACCATCGTTACAACACGGTTATGCGTGGAATTCTCCTGGACTCGTTAGCTTTTAGACGAGTTTCCTCTCTCTCCTACTCCTCTCCCCCTCGTTATTTGCTTTCCCTTCATTTCGCACGATGGTTCATCTCTACTTGTTAGGAATTTCAAAAGAATTTTCATCGGCTTCTACTTTTAACTTTTATTTTTTTTATTTTTTTTTTTTAAAGGAAGATTGTTCCTTGAAGCTTTGCGGGAGGTTGGAGAATTTCACGCGATCCGCGAGTACAATTGTGGCTATATTTTGAAAAACAACGAACAAAGATTTTTTGTTTGGTTTCGTTGGTCAATAATTTGTAAAAATCTTGGAAACTTTTAGGCAAGCTTTTCGCTTGCCTAAAACTGATTGACAGAGCTAAGACCTAGTAATCAAAATATAATAGTAATAATTAGTAGTATTATATTTATATTATATATTTATAATATATATTTATATTATATTTATATTATAATATAAAGATATTTTACAGAATATAATTATATTATTATAATTAATATAATATAATATAGTTATATTATTACTTTTATTTTATTATATAAGTAGTATTTTTATTACTAAGTATTAATATATTATTACTTTTATTTTATTATATTATTACTTAGTAATAATATAATAAAATAAAATTTATAATTAATATATATAATATAATTATATTATTACTTAGTAATAATATAATATAATAAAAATGAAATATATTTTTATCTACCAAGTCTGATCTCTATTATATTATTACTAAGTAATTACTAAGTAATAATATAATAGAGATAAGACTTAGTAATTACTAAGTAATAATCTAATAGAGATAAGTAATTGCTCTAATTAATAAATAAGCAATTATAAGACTAAGTAATTACTAAGTAATAATATAATAGAGATAAGACTTAGTAGATCAAAAATATTTCATTTTTTCAAAATGTTAGAAAGCACGTGAATGGGGATTGTGGATATAACAAAGATTTCACGAAGCAGCAACTTATAGGAATCTTTAAATAAAATCACAAGTTTGCAAGTAGACAAACTTCAGTAGAATTTTTCCACACGATCAACGCGAGAAAATTGTCTTTCTTAGTTACGAATTTCATCTTTAACGCTGACATTGACGCGCAACTACTCCCGACGAAATAAAGGGGAGATCAGAGGAGAGAAAAATGCAAATTCGCGTGTTCGTTAGTACAGCGTCATTGAATATTTCAGGTGCAAGTAGGAGCTTACGTTGGCCCATGTTACTCGCTTCAGCGAGTTTCTCTCTGATAATACGGCAAGCGTCGTAAATGGATGTGCTCGGGTCGAATTGCATCATCTTCGTGGCGTTTTTCTCCGGGATGGAGATACGCAAGGATAGGGTAGCCATTGCGACTGTGTGGGGTGTACTGCGTGCACGAAAACCACCAGAATCACTCGACTGAAAAAGAAAGAAACAAAAAAATAACATTGGTTAGTCACCACAGTTTCCACTTTCTTCTTTCTTTTTCTCTTATTCGACTACACTTGCGAATATACAATAACGGCACAATTAAACAGAGATGCTCCTCAATGGCAATTATAAAATTCATGTTCATTTATCTTTGTAATTTAATTGACAGAGAGCAATTGTTTTTATTTGTGTAACGCTGCGCTTATTCTCCACAGATTTAACGTTCGAACTCTATAAATAAAAATTCATAAACGTAAAATTGTATGTGTTTATGTATGCGTACTTTAAAATGGTCACGTATAATGCATTTGTTAACGAACAGTTGACATTAATATGCTACTGTAGATCAGATTTTGATTAATTATTTAAATTAAATCTATAGACAGAGTTATTTCTATGTTACAAAAAATTAATTTAAATATATTTAAATATATAATTAATTTAAATTAATTTAAATATATTTAAATTAAATCTATAGACAGTGTTATTTCTATGTTACAAACTTTTGCTTCTCACCATAAATAAACTCTATCGTATATAGATTTTTGTAATCAGTATAATAATAGATGTCATGAACATCATGTTTCATATCAGCACACTTTGTCTTATTCTGTATTGAACTAAAAGAAAAAATACTAACATATTTGTTGTATTTCTGTTAACTTTGAATGAAACGAATGTATATTTCATAATACATATTTTATAATATTTATTGTTTTATAATAAACATATTTTATAATATTTATTATTTTATAATAAACATATTTTATAATATTTATTATTTTATAATAAACATATCTTATAATATTTATTATTTTATAATATTTTGCTACACAACATTTAGTCTTATTTTCATCTATAGAATATATAGAACATAGACAAAATCGTCTAATGAAAGTCTATATAGAATATATTGACAAAATTTAAACAATAAATCTCTAATATCTCGTATAAATACGTTTTACTATGAATAAACTGCGAATATGTATGTATTTGCAGAAACTTTAAAAGTGCGAAAATGTACAGAATAATTAGTACAATGTAAAAATATAAAATATATCTATAATAAAGCATTAATTCTGATATTTAACGACTAGAACAAATCTCTATTTAGATTCAATTTCCTCCACAAGTCTGTGAATTTCATTTCAATTCTTATTTGAATGAACGAAACGAACAATTTCGAATCGCGTCACTTTTCAATGATTCAAACAATGTTTGATTAGTAGCTGATTATGAATTTGTGAAAAATTTGAAGATGCGAAATGCAGAGTGAAATACTAGTTATAATATTTAATATAAATTAACTTTCTACTTAGGTTTCAATTATCTTCATGAAAATGTAAGATTATACAAACATTCGCAGTCTATTAATTACAGTTATGTACAACTGTTTTTCGCTTTTTACATACTTTCTCGAGTTGTTTCATTTTTGTCTACCTGTATAGCGTATCGCATGCTCGTGACAAAGCAAATCCAAATCAAAAAGTTAATTTCTGAATGACACGAAACATAAAAATCCTGTAAAATGTAATAGTGACAAAGAATATTTCATCTCTTTTATGCGAATCATTGTATTTGTACCTTGCATTTTTATATAAAGTAGAATGAAGTTTAAATTTCCGAAATGTGATGTTAAATAAAACATCAAAATTGACTTAAAACAAAAAATTGACTTGCACTGTTTCTACAGTTAAACTATTTATATGAAAAGAAAAATTCCGAAAAAAAATAAAATAATTCAAATGATACATAAATGATACAAGCATCAAAGTTAATAGAAATGTATCTTCTGTTAAAAAATTTTTATATATATTTACAGTATATAACATAAAGACTAATCATTTTCTTAATTTTTTTGATTGATGAACAAATTTATTAAATATAATAAATAAGAAGAATAAATAATATTTTCTGATAATGCAATAGAAAATGTTCAAATGAATCAAAAATAGAAACGAGAACCCTTACTTATTAATATTATTAATAGTTATTAATATCTATTTCTAAATATTATTTAAATACTATTGAATATTAAACAATGAAATTAAATAATATGTTAAAGAGCGATATTGTTTTCTGTATGTATCACCATTCTATGTAGTAGAACTTTAGAAGACTATGATTAAAATTCAAAATTGATTATCATTAAAATTAATATATTATTATATATTATATTATAATATATAATATATAATATTATTATATAATTTTAATTACTAATATATAATATAATATATATTATTATTATTATTATTATTATATATTATACTATAGTATTATTCATTATATTATAATATTATATATTAATATATTATATATATTATATAATATATTAATATATAATTATCATTAAAATTAATATATTATTACACGAACTGATGAAACTACAAAGAAGAGACATTATATTTTTTAACTCTATAAACAGTTTTTTAACAACTTCATCACATATAAGAAACACTTCCTTTCCAAATGTTTAGAGACGTTTTCCTCAAAATTCAGTTTCACCACTTCGTTTTTGCATCCAATAATAACGCAATTACAAAGTGAAAAAAATACAAAAGCCATCGTACCGAACGAGTTTTGACAATTTCATCGAGACGATGTACAATCGAAAAATAAGGTAACAGCACTGAAGCGGCAGCGTTTGCAAAAGAGATTAATTTAGTAGGCGTCTGCCACGTTCGTTCGCAATTACTGCAGCTGTATTAACGAGAAGCACGCGGCGCTTGATCGTCGTACGATTCACGGCGTATCACAAAGAACATAAAGCACTTTGCGCGGATATGCGATTTCTAGTTTACTGCTGAATCAAGTGCAACAAGTTGCAAGGGGCCTGAGCATTGTGCTCGCTCACGGGTCACTGTTTCTATCCATTCGTGTAATTGCACATTATCGTAAAACAACAGGCAGTTCTTGCTCGTGGCGAACAGATATATGCCCGCCCCTCGTTAATTTCCCTTCTTCGTGCCAACTAATTTCTACTTAATGATCGCCAAGTGACAATGCTTTTTGAATATTCAATTCGATCGATTTACGAACAGTAATTTCATCTCTTCGCTCTTGTGAAATAACCGTTAGTATCGTGCAAAGTATGTAATGTTTTCAAATTTTGTAGTTGTGATGTCAATTATACGTAATTTGTAAATATGTTAATTGTAATGTATATGTGATTTTTGTTATATATGTATATAATATATTTTTATATATAGACTGAAAATACTTTCAATTTTCTAATATTCATATTATTAAGTTCATAGATACTAAAATCTTTAGATTGTGTGTATATTTTATAATTATTTTATAATATATTTTATAATATTTTATAATTATTTTATAATATATATTATAAAAATATACAATTGATAATTAATACTTTACAGGTTCTTTGTTGTGTAAAGTACCATTTAATATTTCCAGTTTTGAAACAAATGTATCATTTACATCAAAACTTTTATGTGCATATATGTGAAATTAATTTATTTGAAATAATATTGTTTTGTAACGAGAAGTCAAATTTCAAAAAAAATATGAAAATGCAAATAGTAATTACCATAAACAGTAGTTATAATGTAAACATTTGTTATAAACACAAACCATTAGTAATGAACAAAAATACTTGAATGTTGTAACACTGTTAAATATAAATATAACATTCCAGATGTAAGATTTTTAATATTTTCTACAGTACAGTGAAGAACATAATTAAATCACTTTTTGTATGAATAGATTTCGTATAAATAATAGGTTTCTTATCACGTAAAACGAAATTAAATCAATGAATGTTTCTCGTTAAAAAATATTAGAAATTTTGAGGAATTGCTTGAATTAGCATTAATGTTCAGTGTTTCATTATTTGTATACCTTAATCTCTTGCACTAAAATGACATGCCACGCACGTCGAGAACTTTTTGTCCCAAATTGCAAGATTTTCTCAGTTTTATGTATATTTAAATGTAACCTAAGCGCAAACAAATGATAAGTTGATTACTTCTTAATAGTTTAATAGTACAGTATTAGTATTATATTAAATATATATTTAATAATATAGTATAGTATCATAATATAATATAATAGTGTACTATTAGTATGATATTATAATATAATAGTATACTATTAGTATGATATTATATTTAAGTATAGTATAGTATCATAGTATAATATAATAGTATACTATTAGTATGATATTATATTTAATATATTTAAGTATAGTATAGTATAATAGTGTTATATTTAATGATATAGTATAGTATAATAGTATACTATTAGTATGATATTATATTTAATAGTATAGTATAGTATAATAGTATACTATTAGTATGGTGTTATATTTAATAGTATAGTATAGTATAATAGTATACTATTAGTATGGTGTTATATTTAATAGTATAGTATAGTATAATAGTATACTATTAGTATGGTGTTATATTTAATAGTATAGTATAGTATAATAGTATACTATTAGTATGGTGTTATATTTAATAGTATAGTATAGTATAATAGTATACTATTAGTATGATGTTATATTTAATGGTATAGTATAGTATAATAGTATACTATTAGTATGATGTTATATTTAATAGTTCAGTATAGTATTATAGTCTTAATAGTATTTTCCAGTAATCTCATACGGACGAGTACGAAAAGAAAAAAAAAGAAAGCGACGAATTATTGTATACGGTTCGGTCACTCGTTATGGTCCGCGAACCAGTTGCCAGCGCAAGGGCGTTAATATTATCCATAACGAAGAATGATCTATACGAAATCCATATATAGCTAGTTGTGTGCTTTTCACATTTTCAATACATAAAATTACAACAGAAACGTCATTTATCGATCGATCGAAAATATTTTCGTATATACGAATATCGAACAAAGTGTCTTTCCAAGTAACAAGAAAATGAGCAAATAAAGAGAAATTTTCAACCCTGGCATTCCATCATTTTCTATCGGTTTTCTAATCGAAACCGTCGCAGAGCGACGGATTA